GATGATAATACGGTTGTCAATAAAAGATGGTTGGAACAAATGCACACTACATGTAGCTGCCCGACCCATCTTAATGACCACATATTTTCCATCGTTAATGAATAGTTGGTTTGAAAAACTTGCGGGAAAAAAACAATATTAGTGAGAAAACTTGTATTCGTCAATAATATTAAAAAAAATCGTCAAAAGTCAAACATTACTGACGAATTATGATGTCGTGGGAAACATGTTTTTGAAATGTACCCTTTTTACCCTTAGGTTGCTTTTTACGACTGTGAAAATGGATTTGTTGGAAATAATTGGTCAGAAATATTGTTTTCCGAAACAGTAGCTTAGTGGATTTCATAATGAAAAACAACTTTAAGAAATAAGTCATTGATGAAACTCGAACCCAGAACCACATGTTTGCAAAGGAGCTTCCTAACCAGTTACACTACACACAATTTATGTACATTTTTTAATTTTTTGTATCTAATTATCGTGTAACAGAATCATAACTGCAGAGAACTCTCTGTCTTTTGCAGATCAGTTCAATGTTCTTCCTCCCATGCAATAAACGAAGGCTGGTTCTTCCCCTGCAGACCATTTAATTCCGAAATTACAGGAAAAGGGAACGATACAATGGCATCAAAACTGGTTCAATGAATGGAGTATGTTCATCCGATTAGTTTCTCTTAAGTGCGGCAAAAGGGTTAAAGGGGAAGAAGAAATCAATCCACCATTACCCAAATTCGCCATAAACCACTATGAAATCCCAGTAAGAACAAACGGATTATGATTATGTAGTTTTCCCAATCTGAAAGAGTAAAGAAAACGATTCGGAGTTGCGTTTTCCCACCGCCAAACTTCACCGCCGATTGAGAATACGCCTGGAACGACACGAGGGAAGAGTAGGTCCGGCGATCGGCGCGGCTGCGGTTTAAGGACGGAAGGTAACCAGTTCCTCCGCTCTTCAAAACGACCACGTCTTTGGTTTTTTTTGTATGAATCTGTTTAATTATTTTTTTCCAGCTTAACTTTTTTTTTTGTGTCTATATTGTATGTAGTTGTACGCAGCACTTAACTTTTTTTTTCCCAAACGCTATTATCTTTATTAATTTATTATTTTATTGGGTACTATTAATTTAGTATTTGTTTGAATGTGATTACACGGATTAAAGTGGAAGTAGTTAAGTTTCCTAGTTGTACATCAATTAAAATTATATTGAATGTAATTAACAATTTGTTTCTTTGTTTAATATATGAAAGCTTAGTGAAGGTATAAACATTTGATTTAATTTGGATTATTTTTATTTCTACATCGACAATTTAATTTACCTGAATAATTAAGTTAGTTTTACTTTTTTGTAATATTGTCTAATAACATAAATTTCCTACATATATCTATAGGTATGGAACCTATCGACAAAGCTTGGATACAATTGAAGAATCGGGCATGCACACAGTACATTGCGGGAGTGGAGAAATTCGCGAAGTACGCAACAGACCATGTTAAAGACGATGATGGTCTAATAAGGTGTCCTTGCGTGGAATGTGGTAATGTGCGTAGAATGACAGTGAACCAGGTAGAAGGAAATCTTCTTTATAAAGGAATGAGAACCGACTACACTAAATGGATTTACCATGGCGAGGTCGACGAAGATGAAGAAGATGACGATGATGGTCCAGAATTGGGTGATGATAACATGGAAATAGACAATGGAGATGATGGCGATATGGGTGAAGATAACGATATGGGCGAAGATGATATGCTTGGTGTTCTGAACGACCTCATGGCTCCATTAGCGAATCCGGAAGAACCTAATGCCCAAGCTCAAAATTTGTACAAACTTTTCGGAGAGGCCCAATCACCGTTGTACGAGGGATGTGCTTCGAATGTGTCAAGATTGTCATTCGTCACAAGCTTAGGAAAATCAAGTGGGAGAATAACTGGAGTAACAATTCATTTACCCAGTTGGTCAAGTATATCCGGGCTGTATTTCCTATGGCGCAATCACTTCCGAAGAATTACTATGAAGCAAAGCAGCTTATGAAAGCTCTTGAGTTACACTACGAAGAAATAGATGCATGTGAGGACAATTGCGTCCTGTACTACGCCGGCTGGCAGATGCGACATCTTGCCCCACGTGCAAAAAATCAAGGTGGAAGAATGTTTATAAGGATAAGAAGGGCAGAGATAAGAAAATTCCGTGCAAAATTATACGGTATTTTCCCAAGGCAATTGTCATCACTCGAGGTATCAAATCAGATCCACTCATTCGATCAAATTGTGTTTGGGATCAAAGGAAAGGGTAAAAAGATCGATGGATTTGGTAAAGAACATAATTGGAAAAAAATTCCATTTTCTTTGAATTGCCATATTGGAGTTCACTTAAGTTAAGCCACAATTTAGATGTCATGCATATTGAGAAGAACGTGTGTGACAGTGTTTTGGGTACAATGATGAGTATTGAAGGCAAAACCAAGGATAGTTTAAATGCCCGCAAAGATTTGCAGGAGATGGGATTAAGAAAGGAATTACATCCTGTAGAGAGGAATGGGAGAACAGTGTTACCTCGAGCTTTATATAGCTTGCTGCCAGCGCAGAGAAGGGAATTCTGCGAGTGGATATCAAAGTTAAAGGTTTCAGATGGTTATTCTGCCTATTTGAGAAATTGTGTGAATGTTCAGGAAGGGAAGATTTCAAGAATGAAAACTCATGATTGTCATATCATGTTGGAAAGATTAATTCCTCTTGCAGCTAGGGACTTCTTTCTGAAGGCTATAGCGGACCCCTTAATTGAGTTTAGCAATTTCTTCAAGAATATATGTTCGAAGGAGCTAAGTTTGAAAGAGTTATCAGCCATGGATTCTGAAATCGGCACAACCCTCTGTAAGTTGGAAAGTGTATTTCCCCCGGCATTCTTCGATATCATGATTCATTTGGCCATCCATCTACCTTGGGAAGCAAAAATTGCTGGACCCGTCCAATATCGTTGGATGTATCCAGTGGAAAGGTATGAATTTCATTAAATTTAATAATTTATTGTTTTTCGTTTTTACTAATTCTTGAAACATGTCCAAATTTTTTTTCTTTTTGTTTTTTACTAATTCTTGAAACATGTCTAAAAATTTATTGTTTTTGAAGTGTTACGCTTTCCGATGAAGAGGATTTATTATTAATATTTCCTACTTTTTTAACTAGGTATTTGAAGAAATTGAAAGGTTGGGTTAGAAACAAGGCAAGACTAGAAGGATCTATTGCTGAAGCATACGTGATTGATGAGTGCGTTACATTTTGCTCGCAATACATGACGGATGTGGAAACTCGATTTAATCGTCCTGAAAGAAATGATGATAGTATTCCGGAGGGAACCGTTCACCCACATAATTTGTCCATTTTGCCAAGTGTCGGTCGTTTTATTGGTACATTCGTCATGAAGGATTTTAATGATGATTTGTTCAAGGCTGCAACATTTTATGTCTTGCAAAACTGTGACAAAGTCGAGGATTTTAGGAGGTACGTACAATTTATACTTCTTCAATACTGTGCGTATTGCTACAATAATCATTATTTTAAGAATTTGCATATGTATGTATACTATATGTAGACAACATAAGGAATTTTTGGCTGGACGCGGTGTGCGAATGGTTGAGAGAGTGCACAGGGAAGAATTCCAAAAGTGGTTCGCTATTCAGGTAATTTACTATTTTGACACGAAAATTTTGAAGTGTTGTCGTATTATGATATTCGTGTACAAGCCAACAAAAAAAATTGCTTCATGATGCAGGTGGCCAAAATGATTGATGACAATGTTGCAACTTTGCATCCCTCTATGTTGACTTTGTCTCGAGAGCCGGACAAACGAGTGTTGCACTACTCAGGCTATTGCATCAATGGATTTAGATTCCACACGCAAGATCACGAGATTAGAAAAACAAGTCAAAATAGTGGAGTCATGGTGCGAAGTGAGGAAGGTGTGGGTATTCCTTACTATGGCGTAATTGAAGATATCATAGAGTTGCGATATACCAAAGGCCTTCGTGTAGTGTTATTCCAATGTGATTGGTATGAAACCACGCGAGAAGGCGTAGGCTATAGGAGGGATGGCCACGGTGTTATTAGCCTCCATCGAAGACGAAGGCGACCAACGGACGAACCATTCGTTTTGGCAAGTCAGGTAACCCAAGTGTATTATGTGCAGTGTGCCAGAGATCCGGAATGGGACATGGTGGTTGAGACAAGGCCGAGGAATTTTTATATTGTGGCGGATGTCGAGGAAATTTTAGAAGAACAAGCATACCAAGAAGACGAAATGACTAATGGGGGTCGAGTTATCGAGGATGAGGACGACGATGTTAACTTAAACTTGCGTGGCATGGGTTATGAAGAATATCTTTAATCATGTAATATGACTTCTAAATTTTGCTTTCCTACATTACGAACTTGTTATTTTATATACATTATCAATTTTGATTTTGTTAAACATATACATTATGGTATTGTTATTTGGTCTTGAATATAGTCTTGAAAGCTAAAATATCTATATTCATAAAAAAAATATTATGTATATCAGAGATAAAAAAATATTATATATAAAAAAATATCTATAGTCTTGAAAGCTAAAAAATATTATGTATATTAGAGATAAAAAAATATTATGTATAAAAAAATATCTATAGTCTTGAAAGCTAAAAAATATTATGTATATTAGAGATAAAATATCTATATTGTTACATTGGGTTAAATCGCAAAAAAAAAAAAGGGTTAAATCACTTATATTCGAAAAAATTGGTTTAAATTGCAAAAGACAACAGCGTTTAAAAAAATAAAATCACACCACACTCTAACACAAAAACGGCGACGCATGATGATAAGCATCGACAGGTGGGTGTCAAAGAGGGAAAACTCCCCTTCGATCTATTGAGTTCCTATTTCGCCTCTTTTCCATTCTCATTTCAGACTACGAACCCTAATTATTCCATCCTTCGATCGGTTGAGTTCCCCAGACTTCCCTCGAATGGAAATCGCTATGGAAACTCTCGCCGCTTTAAGACTGAGTGAAGGAGACAGCGGAGAATCCATCATGAGATGGAGAGGCGCAAGACGCGAGAAGGCTATCGGGATTGGCTGCTGCATTTCTGGGAGGTACGAAGCGTCTGGACTTGTTTTGATTCATTGAATTAATTACAACATGCATTTACTTTCGTCATAATTGTGAGTTGCCCGTTACTTGATTCATCCGAGTTTTGGCCTTCAATTCTTTACCATATTCATAGAATCAACTCAGCGAACTAGTTTACATTTATTACGATTCTTCGATTGATTAGGAGTCTTCTATTTATAACGAATGTCCTCACACATTACTTTTACATACACAGAACCCCTCCCCTCAGGCAATCAAAAACACAGAACGAAAAGCTTTATTGATCTGCTTGTGCTAGCTAGATGGGAAGGTCAAAAAAGGCTGGGAAGTCAAAGCCATCCAAAAGGCCAGTGGAGGAACAAGGAAGGTCAGCCCCTCTAGAGACTGTCGAAGTGGTTTCTCAGGAAAATGAAACCGTGCCAGAAACTCAGCAGGCAACAAGGGAGGGTGAACATTTGAATGAGTTGGAGAATGAAGAGGTTCAGCCCCCGAATGACGACCTAGCTTTTGAAGAGGATGTGAACCTTAACCAGGGGGGCTCACTCTACTGGGGGAGGTTCTTCAGCTCAGAAGAAGAATGGCAGAGGTCCTGGAATAGGGGTGAAGCCTGGAGATGGCCTTCACCTTGAGATACATGACAACAGGTAATAAATCATGATATTGCCCTTCTACGTGACAAGCTGTAATTTCCATTGAGAATGAGGCCTTATGAACGTTATTTTGTATTTTCAGGATCGTCACACCACAGGCTGCCCATGAACTCACTACTATCTTCAAAAGGGGCATCATTGGTCCATGGATTAAGTTCTCGGAGTACCCTGCTTCTGCTTTGCAGACCGTGATTGCTCGTTTCAAGGAATCTGGGTTCACATGCTCTCTTTCAGAAGAAGAACTCAATGTTCATCTCAAGGAACACATCAAGAGGAACTTTTCCCAGTGGATGTATGGGTTCCGCAACCGAGTCTTTAATCAATATCCTACCCTTGCTGAAAGGATTAACAATCCACCTACTGAAATCCCTGCTTATATTTGGAGGGAAATGGTTAACAAGTGGAGTGATCCAAACTGGAAGGTAATTTAATGCTGTCTAAACTTGTGTATTATGATTATTTGTGTTTGTATCTAATTTGCATATGTATGTTTACACTCCGGCAGAGCACCAGTGATAAGAACAAAGCCAATCGTGAGAAGTCTGAGCTCACTACTACTGGCGGATCAGTTCCCATGGCGAAGTTTAGGCTTGATCAGGTACCCCAATATGTTCTCTTGTATTTAATAAGAACGAAGCCAAGGTCCAGAAGTGTGAGCTCACTACTCCTGCTTTATTCTTGTGTTTGCAGATCAAGAAGACGGGAAAAGAACCAGATCATGTAGAGACATTCAAGAAGTTCCATGTGAAGAAGGGCAATGGTGAATTCACCACCCCAAAAGCTCAGACCATACATGTAAGTGCATTGCATGTTAAGTAATTTTAGCTTTCTTCTTCTTTTTTTAAATCATTTAAACTCAGCGTATTAGTTATTAATTACTATGTGTGTAGGCTGAATTGAAGAATAAGGAAGCTGAGAAGTTGAGTCAAGGGGAAGAGGTGAACCAGTTTGCGATTTATGGTGAGGTTGTAGGAAAACAGCCTAGGAAACGTGTGTTGGGAATGGGTTATGGGGTAACTGGTGTGGATGTTTTTGGCCCTACCTCCGGTCAGGGCTGCAGCAAAAGGTGTGAAGAGGACCGAAGGCAAGAGAAGGCGAAGAATGATGAGATGATAAGAATGCTGAAAGAAGAGCTAGTGCAGGTGAAGAATGGAATTCCTCAGATTGTCGAGGATACATTGAAGAGGCTAGGAGTTACTTTGGCAGAGTCCTCAATGGTAAGTGTTTGTTGCTGTTTTTTTAGTTGGTTGAGCATGATTAATGGTATGAACCTTATCATAATCTATTTAACTTTGTAATTTAGGCTGGAGACAAGGGGGGTGAATGATGAAGATGAAGATGGAGACGAGGAAGTGAATGATGAAGATGCGGATGCTATTGATGATGAGAACAGCTCCCCCTGATGATGATGATGATTACTAAGTTTGCAGCGCTTGGAAGAAGGCAGCAGTAGGAACTTTGCAAGTTCCAATTTTCAATCGGAAGTTTGCAGCTAGGAAGAAGGCAGTCTTAGGAACTTTGCAAGTTCCATTTTTCAATCGGATTATGTTTATGTTTATGTTTTGTTTTGTTAAGTGTTTGGTTGTTTTGTTTTATGTTTGAACAAGTGTTGAAGGTGGTCTCCGTTTAAGACAGTTTTGGTGGTTAGGCCACCTAATTTTATGGAGAAGTTTCATTTTTTGCTAATATATTGCATTGGTTAATTTCTTTTACGCTTTTAATAAATTACCTACAAAATAAAATTTATTATTATTATTTCTCAGTTTTCATCACTAATAATATATAGTAAAAATATTTACAAAATCGGAAAAAATTGTAGTTCTAACGATATAATTTGGTTACAGTAGCACGAAATTCGGTTACAATTGTCGAGTTGCTTCCCACGAATATTTTGTGTTGCAAGTATTCTATTTGTAATGCAACAAAATGGTTAGCTTTAGTAAGTCATTTCCGATGAATATTTTGTGTTACAAATATTATTTTTTAACACAACAATTTGGTTAGATTTAATATGTTCCTTTCGAAGAATATTTTATGTTAAAAATATTCTTTTTTAACACAACAATTTGGTTAGATTTAATATGTTTCTGCCGACGTATATTTTGTGTGACAAATATCCTATTTTTAACGCAACAATCTGGTTACATGAACACAAAAGTTGGTCTAAATTAAGTAGTTTCTTCCTACGAAACTTTTGCATCACAAATATTCGATATTTTCTTCTGACCTTATTTTCTCGTTGGAAACTAAATTTACAATTATTAGGAATAATTTTTAGTGACGCAAGATATTCATTATAAATACCACAGGGGTAATTTAGGAACATAATTAACCCTTGCAAAAAATGTTCTTTTACGACAAACAACTGTGGTCAAAACGTATAAAGGGTATTTTCGGAAAAAAATGTCATTTTTTTATTAACGAATTTTTTATTTACTAACAAACACATTTTCCTCAATTATAGTTTATCTAACAAAATGTACTCCTCACAAAAAATATTTTATCCCTTAAAAATATATTTGGTCAAACAATTTCGTTAAGTACATTTCTTTTCTGATCACGATATTTTGCATAATGACAAAAAATAATTGTCACAAATGAATGATTTTCTGACGCAAGTACATTTAAACTATTAGCGAGGGACCTTTACCCCACGACCCACCAACGACCGTATTTCGTCAAAATAACCATATTGTGACGAGAAAAGGCCTTTTGTGACGCCAATCTTCTGGTAACATCTGCCAGTCTTTTTTGTAGTGTTACTCTTGTTAATTACATTTTGTTTACTTCAGTGAGCTCCAACCAATCTCAACGGTAAATTATTTTTTTATATTAAATTGAACCAGCGGGAGCTTACTTTAGTATCAGCTCCAAACTCCGATTAATTCGTGCTCTAAATCGTAAAACCGGTTGTACGCCTGTCGTACGCTATACGCCTGTGTTTACACTTGTTATTTGCACTTCAATATATTTCGCTGAATCAAAACAATTGGTTATTATTTTTAGATTAAATGAATCTTGTGGCTCGGGTTAGAGAATTAGGGACTAGGGTTTGCCCATTAGAAGTTAGAGTATAGTATCATGCCCAAACTCTGATTGATTCGTACTCCAAATTGTAAAAATCGACATGTACGCCTGCTTATATATGGACGGTATGACATACCTTGAGTATGAAAATTATATCCAGACCTTGAATTAACCAGCGTTTGGCATATGGTACCATTCCCAAAGCCCTAAAAATTAAAATCTAGGTCTTAGTTCTATAAATCTCATACACTAAGATCAATTTAATTAGAAACAAAAAACTACGGTTATGATTCATCAAGATATATGCAACCATTTACATGAGCAATCTTAGGGTTTAGGTTCTACGATTTAAATAACTAAGACCTAGGGTTCACTCATCAAGGATTATGGTTATAGTATAATGCCCTAAATTCGGTTAATTCGAGGTCTAGATAGTGTTTTCTTACTCAGGATAGCACTACCCTAAGGTATACCCAAAGTAGGATAGAAGCAACCATATCATATGTTAGAGGTATACATATAATAAAGAAGAATATGAACCACTTCGATGTTATGAACGCATTTTAATAATTGAATACGTATAAAATGCAGACAATAGAAATAAGGATTTTGCTACGGTGACATGCACTTTTCGGTCGACCTCATATAGGATTAGGTCGACCTAATCTGTTGTTTCAGTGTAAAAGCATTCCATGGTGCCTATTTTGAAGATTCATATCTTACAATTGGCTATATGGAAATTGGAGATTAATGGCTTGTTTTGAAGCTGAAGTGTCCCTCTACACATTAAAGTACTTGGAAACTCAATAGAAAGTCCAGAAGACCATTTTTTGACCTGATCAAAAGGCTATGCAAAACTGGAAAACTGCCTGAAAATGGTTTAGTCTGGGAACGTGTTTGTGAAGCCTACTTTGGAGCTCAATTTGAGAAGCATGGATGCGAGTCAAGTCCAAAGGCCTCTTCCACGTTAAATTAAGTATTTTTTTTCTACAAAGTAAAGGCATTGGATGAAAGATTGAATATCTTTAAAGCTTCAAACAAAAGCCTCGAAGTTGCTACGAAGGATGTTTTTCTGGTAGCTTGCTTGTGCTCGAAGTCTACCAGAAAAACAGCCTTCGTAGCAATTTCGACCATTTTGTTTGAAGCCTTACATATATCCAATCTTTCATCCAATGCTTTAACTTTGTATACAAACATACCTAATTTAACGTGGTAGAGGCTCCTGGACTCGACTCGCATTCATGCTTCTCGAATTGAGCTCCAAAATAGGCTTCACAAACACGTTTCCAGACTTAACCATTTCCAGGCAGTTTTCCAGTTTTGGCATAGTCTTTTGACGAGGTTAAAAAATGGTCTTCTGGACTTCCTATCGAGCTCTTAATCACTTCAATATGTATAGGGACACTCCAGCTTCAAAACAAGTCATTAGTCTTCAATTTCCATCTAGCCAATTGTATGATATGAATCTCCAAAGTAGGCACCATGAACTGTTTTTACACTGAAACAACAGATTAGGTCGACCTGATCCTATATGAGGTCGACCGAATCCTAAATGAGGTCGACCTGATCCTATATGAGGTCGACTGAATCCTAATTGAGGTCGACCGGAAAGTGCAAGTCACCGTGACATGCATGTCACCATAGGCACACCCTAGAAATAAACCCATTTATGTTGACTTAAAGTATTCTACAATCTCTTCACAATTATTGAGTATGTACCATTGAATCTTAACGAATTTTGTACTTAGTAGCTCCTTTTAGTCTATCTTATTGGATGAAAATAGAGAACCCATTAGACTCAACTATTTCAGATCCATCATATTTTTGTCTAGACAAGTTGCCTTTATTTCAACTCCTTGCAGATATCTAGAGCAAAAATGAGAACACTCTTTTGCTATATATCTTTCAGCAATAGATCCTCCAAGATGAGCCTTATTACAAGCATAACTTTTTAGGGAACTTAAGAACCTCCCGAAATGTAGAAAAACAAATTAATTAGCTACATCTTTGCAATATCAACTTAGAAAATAATTAAATTACCAAATAAAAATTAACATAATTATTACCTACATTTATTTAGAACATATACATCAAACCTGTGTCAGGCCACCAACCTCTACCTCATGGGATAGGTGAAGTGGGAGATGCTTTGGAGGATATAACATCTCAGATTTGCATAGTAAAAAGATTATGTTACTTTCCAATTGCTTAACCATAGCTTTTGTTATTGTTTTTGTACATTATTCCCGAAAAAAACCACCCAATTTTGCTAGAGTAGTGTATACTTCCTTGCTCAAGAATCCATATACCGTAGTAGGCAATAGTCGTTGTATGAACACATGGTGATCCTGATTTTTCGTTCCAGTAATCGACCTACCTATCACTAGTCACACAACGAGAAGAGTTCGATGCATAAGCATTAAGATGTAGCATAGTTAAGGTATATAAAGCTTGAGGCATTTTAAAATTATCGCCATCTCTCTGCAGATGTAATTCCTTCCGAATATCCATCAATTTTAAAAACATTCGAGCATTAGTTGTATCCTTCGTTGCTTCCATAATATTTAGCAATGTTGCTAACACATTCTCACTTATGTTCTTTTCTACATGCATAACATCTAAGGTATGCCGTAATTCTATAGTTTTCTAGTAAGGTGATGACTCGATATTTGCACATGTTTTCCCCTTTGTTTCTTGCTCGTTTAAGTTTGCATTATCGCTTCTTTGGCCTATTTTATGCTAGTTTGTGTTCCTTTGTCACATTTAGGTCCTAGCACGTAAAGTGAAGCATAGGTGCAAGTTTCAAGTCAATCGGAGATCAATTGGCAACTCGAGGGACGAAACTCAGCATGATCTAAATAAGAATGGAATTATACCTCATTTTGTGACCAAATAATTATGTAAACTTGTCATTAGAATGAAGTGGACGATACTATGAGCGTCTGGGATCAAACGAAACCTGATTTGGAGTCCAGATGAGTGAGAAACGAAGAATCAAAGACAGGGGAACCGGAACGGTGAAAGACCCGGTCTGGAGGCCCAATTCCCCGGCAGGGGATTTTTATCAAAAAATTACCTGGTCTGGAGTTCCAAAACCCCGACTGGGTAACTTCCGGAAGCGGGTATATAAACTTGTGTTTGTGCGTTTTTGGAGGGAGAGAGATGGGTTTTGGTTCCCCAACACCCAAGGGACGAACCAAAGAGAGAGGGGGCGATCTAGAGCCATTCTTGGAGCTATTTTGGAGGATTCTAAGCTCAAGGAACAAGTCTAGACATGAAGATTGAAGATCTGAAAAGTTATACTGCATTCTCTCTCTTTTCTATGGAGTAACTTCCCTTCACTTAGGTTTTGAGGAACCCTAGCCATGTTTGTTTGATCTGATGATTGTTTGAATACTCCTACTTTATAATCTTGAGTTCATATTCAATCTATGCATGTTTCATGATTCAATTTTGGTTTGGTCGAGATTATTGATTCTGCTTTGATCCTATGAGAGCGAATACCTGATTAGGTCAATAGAGCACCATAGATTAATATTATTGGATCGATTGCGTTTGTATTGATTGAGAACCTCATTCGATAGAGGGAATCTAGTTTAGAACACCTTGATCGGTTGT